AACTGAAAAATGCGGTATTTGAAAGTGGCGCCCGAATTGCCGCATGGCACCAGTTGTCCAAAATCCAATGGTACCAAAGGAGGGATTTGGAAAAAGGGTGCCAGGCCGAAAACGGGATGCAGCCGAAACAGCAAAAAGGTAGACCAGGGATCGAGTCCTGGCGGAGTCCGTAACACTACTGGCTTGGGATGATGCAGCAGCAGAGGACTTTGCATTGGAATGGGGTGTAGCAGGAGTAGGAGTAGGAGTAGGAGTAGGGAGGAAACATAGATTAACAACTGTCACAAAACGATCGAAGGAATCTGCAAGGGAAGAGAGTTTGGTTTCGATGATGGACATTCTGTCCGCCATCGAAGTCAAACTTCATCCCGGGAGGTGTGTTCTTCCCTCCGCACTTCCTTGGATTGTCTCGACCTTCCTTCCTTCTGCTTCTCCATATGCTCCAACTGCAACCGAGCTGCCTCTACAGCCTTACCTACTCCTCCAATATTGAGCTCAGTGACAGGCAACTTGCAATTCCCTGCACTGACTGGACTTTCTTCCCCCATTCCAGAAGATTCTTTTCACACAACAAGATAAACGCGAAAGTGTTCAAAGGCTGAGGACCACTCACTAGTCTACTCAGATATGGAATGTGGTGTTGATTCCCAACCTGAAGAAGTTAACAGGCTTGACAGGCTCACAAGAATGGCACTGACCACCAAGACTGACCAACAGGGTTGTACTTCTGCAATCAGACTAGACTTATTCACTCTTTTCATGCACGTGAACAGCAACACACAACTGGCGACATGCGCCCACACAGTACACAAAGATATGTCTTCCAGGTAAGTTCGCTTCCACTGGCTATGGCGACTAAGCGCCCAGACAACTCACTGTTCACACCTTGGATCACCCTGGATGTCCCACACGCAACACTCTGCAACCACACGCAACACACACACACACACTACTATAGCTATGGCAGCGCTAGCTGCCACTACCCTATCGCTACACTACACTTCTCTGCCCACTTCGTCTTCGGGCACACTGCAGACCTCCTCGCACAAGCTGCTGAGGCAGCGCTTCCGCATGGCATCCGCAGGAATGAATGAATGGCTGGACGCAGCCTCTTGATTTATACTTCTGCGCTGCGTTGGTCTGCCCTTTGTCCCTTGGCCCTTGGTGCACACAGTCCCAGACGGTACTTGCTGGACAGGACCGGACTGCCTAACTGGGACTGTTGACTCAGCAGGGTGGCTTACCACCACTTGACCACTTGCCTCCGTTCAACGTAGGCTCACTCCGAAAGGCCACTTCTAGAAACCTCCAACTTGGCCTTTCGGTGTTGTAGCAGCTACGACTTTGCCCCTTCAGGTAAGTAGCAGCTACAACGTTGACCTTTCAGACAACCTACAACTATGACTTCGGAACTGTCTAGACTCCTACCCTACAAGTCTACAGTTCGATTCCCTTCTAAGCTGTGACCTACGACAATCTACCTACCACTGGCGTTTCGACAGGTCGCAGGTTCAAATCTACGGGTTGACATCAATACTATACACAGGTAAGATGGGGAACTAGGGATCGAACCCTGGGATCTACATTCGCTACTGCGAACTGGTGAATACCATTTCACTTCCAATGGCAGTCTTAACTGATCTGTGACCTCCCGCTGATGGGGTCACTTACCAATTCTCAACTCTGCGTAGGACTGTTTTCAGGCGCAGGGACTGACAACAGTGACTGCAATTGCACATGGACCCAACCTCGACCAGCGAATATCTTCCCACAGAAAATTATTTATTTGTTAGAAAAACAAATAAAATAAAAGTGGAATACTCAGATTGCCGTTCACACTCAGAACCCAGATAATTAGAGTTAAACTGTGCTGTTCAGTGGTAAGGGGAACACGGCAGGTTAGTGCGAAATGTCATGAGGAAGTATGAGAGGTTATGGGCTCAGCCCAAAAGCCAAAACCGTCAACGAATTACTTTAACTAAGCCCACAACCAAATCAGAAACACAAACTTTTCTTTTCTATCAAGCTCACAACAGAGCCTTCTCACAACCGTCAGCATTTCACAGCAAGGGAAGGAAATACTTAATTTATGCAATCAAGAAAAAAAAAAAAAAAAAAAAAAAAAAA